GGAAAATTGGGGTGTGATGGATGGATAGGAATTGGATAAGATTAGCTGGTGGTAGAGAAAAGTGCAGAGATAGAGAGTTGTTCATTCTGGAGTTGTGAAGAGACTCGAAGGGGAGACTGCAGTACCTTCCTCTTCGAGTTGGGACCATCTGGGACATGGCTCCTTCTTGAATATGCTTTAATAGTAGACAAGGGAAAGACGGAACATTCTCTGCCATTTAGGTTAGTGGTATGAATGCAGCAGTCAACGCTTCGAATCATCACGGCATGGTGTACGAACAATCAGCAGCAGCGATAATTCCGGATAACCTGTTGATCATATCCATGATTCGGCTTTATTTCTGTTTATTATAGTAGTATTCCTCTTTTGTCAATTACCGCACAGTATAAATACTCACTTTTTTGCTATTGTGAAATCAGTGACGATAGTATAGTAGCAATGTAGCGTTCCTCGGGTGCTACTTTTATTGTGTACATCCCTGGCCAACCTCCTGCCCGTGTAACCCCTTGCATCCCCACTATCTACTGTGATGTGTAAACATTCGAAGTCTCACCAAAAAATGCCTGTGAAAGTCTTCGAGTAGCATGTTCTAGTGCCGGGGGTCTGCATATGGTAATGTCCTCATGTCTTTGACATTCCGGAATAAAATGTCTTCACCATACCCATTCATATATCCTCCTTATACCATCCATCATCATAGCACTATACTTACTTAGCCATCTTATATCAATTGTTATTGTATAGATCTTGTATCAAACCCTCCCTAGTGTCTCTTCTGGAAATGAGGGTCTCTAGCCGAAGTAGGCAATAATAACTCACCTCTGCCGAGATCACCTGACTCACAATGTCTTCTTATTGCCTAGCTTAGGGGTTCGTAGGGCACTAATCTTCAATAGGCAATGATGTATTGTGCCGTCCAATACCGCATCCGACCGACCCCGCCGCGGGGGACGAGCACCGGTACCGGCAATACGGAGACCCTAAGAAGGAGTCTTGGGGAGGAAGCGGGAAACACCGAAAAGGCCCCGCCCAACAACCGGATTGGAGGGTAACGGTATGGTAAATAGTAAGTAAAAGGAATGGATTAGTAGCAGGAATCACTCATGGCTATCGTTTAGTTACTCTGTATAGTAAACTGTGGCTCTGCCTCTTCTTGTCTCACCGAGTTCGTCCCGGCCCCCGCCGCTGGCTGACTTGACTGCCCGCCCGCCCATATATCATTCTTTGCCTCCGCAGCCAGTTCCCCTCCGCTGGTTCTTTTTTCGGCTTTTGGATTTTGACGGTCGCGAGGTTTTTCTACGGAACCTACGTTGCTGCTCCAGTCACTGCAGATTGTCTTCCAAGATTCGTCTCAGTGTGCTTTAATTGATCTTTACTCTTCTATCTTATCCTCTCTTACTCCACTTCCTTTGAGATTGTTGCTGCTGCTCTCTTGAGATCAGTGACTCATTTCATCCCGCATTCAGTGCCCCGCGTTGCCGTTCGATCTTGACTGACTATTTTGTCTTCTTGCTTCGCACGCACACCACAAATACATTTACCGCTGGGTAAATTTGCAATTGAGCTGCTTAATTGAAATATATTTCGTGGCTTTAACATTCAGTTCGATAATCATGGGTGTCACAATTGTTCTGGGTAGTCAGTGGGGTGATGAAGGTGGGTTGTCATCTTATTTACCCGGCAGTTCACAGGTCGATTTAAATCGATTGATTGATCGATTGATTGGACTAACGTAATTGGGGCATGGCTGATTTATTGCGATTACAGGAAAGGGGAAGATTACCGATATGCTTGCGCAGGAGGCTACGCTCTGCTGCCGTGCCGCTGGCGGCCACAGTAAGTCTTTCCTTCTCTCTCTCTTCGGAGGATATTGTTTAATGGAATGGATAGATGCCGGTCACACTATCGTCCACGGTGACAAGACCTACGACTTCCACATCCTTCCCTCCGGTCTCGTCTCCCCCGCCTGTGTCAACCTGATTGGCGCCGGTACCGTGGTGCACGTCCCTAGTTTCTTCAAGGAGTTGGCTTCTCTGGAGGACAAGGGTCTGGAGGGCGCTGGAAAGCGCATCTTCATCTCCGACCGTGCGCACGTTTGCTTGGACCTTCACTCCGTCGTGGATGGCCTGGAAGAGGCCAAGCTGGGCGGTCGCAAGGTCGGTACTACCGGCAAGGGTATCGGTCCCTGCTACAGTGACAAGGCCGCCCGTCGCGGTATCCGTGTCGGTGAGATTCTCGACGAGGCTCTCTTCGAGCGTAAGCTGCGCTCTTTGGACGCTGGCTACCGCGCTAGATTCGGCGAGCTGGATTACAACGTTGAGGAGGAACTTGCGCGTTTCAAGGTAGGATGACCTCTCCCTCGCCATGTATTGTTGGTCTCGGAAGCACCTTTCCAGGAGCATCTAACAAAACCAGGATTACCGTCAACGCTTGGGCCCTTACATTGTCGACCAATTGGCCTTCCTTCAGAAGTACAAGGACGCCCCTAACACCCTCGTTGAGGGCGCCAACGCTCTCATGCTGGACCTGGACCACGGCACTTACCCCTTTGTGACCTCCTCGTCCACCGGTCTGGGCGGTGCCGTTCAGGCCCTCTCCCTCAACCCCACCAGCATCAGCTCTATCATCGGTGTCGTCAAGGCCTACACCACCCGTGTCGGCTCGGGTCCTTTCCCCAGTGAGCAGCTGAACGAGTTCGGCGACAAGCTGCAGGGCGTGGGTAAGGAGTTCGGTGTCACCACCGGCCGTAGACGTCGTTGCGGTTGGTTCGACATGGTCCTGTGCCGCTACTCCCACGCTATCAACCACTACACCGCTCTCAACCTGACCAAGCTGGACGTGCTCGATGACTTTGACGAGATCAAGGTCGGTGTTGCGTACATTCTGCCCGACGGCACCCGTACGGAGAACACGATGCCCGCCGATCCGGAAGTCCTGGAGAAGGTCCAGGTCGAGTATGTCACCCTCCCCGGCTGGAAGAGCAACACCATGGGTGTGAAGAAGTACGAGGACCTGCCTGCCAATGCTCGCGCGTATATCGAATACATTGAGCGCGGGTTGGGCGGTGTTCCCGTCAAGTGGATCGGTACCGGTCCTGCTCGTGACCACATGATCTGCCGCGAGTAAAAGTGGTTGCTAAATACCGTTCATGACAAAAGGTTTGTGTTTTCTTCTTCATTGTGTTTGTTTATAATATCCAAAGACCCGGTGTAATCGGGATGGCTTCGTATGCAATGTGTATATGGATGATGTGATAACTGGCTCATTAGAGGTAGACGATGGTTGGGTATAGAGTACAGTTCGGAATTTACTTGTTATTTTCAAAGAGAAGTGTAGCTGCTTTCCATTTTAAATAGTTGTATTCCATAATGCAGGTACCACGGTTCCAGCATCCTCCAACGTCCATCATCTCTCCTTGCGTGTAACTGTCGGCAATCGGGTACGGGAAAAATGCCTTAGGCATGAACAACATGAGTTTCCTATCGAGTCGTCCAGCACAACGAGACCTTGATCAACAAATCCAAGTAAACAAAGTAATTCCCACAGCATCAAAGATCATAATTCGGTCGTAAGCCGTACATATGCCCTTCGCACTGTCATACTGTGGTAGAATGATGATAGATACCTTTGCCGGCACATCGGCCATTTTCGGCTGGGCGGAGCACCCTCCACCAATCAGAGGCACGACAATATGATGACCGTATTCCCGATCGGACTCCCGAGGTTCCATTCTCAACTTCAGTTCACCTTTGCATCTGTCACTTGCTGTGCTTGTGTCTATCTAGCGCTGAGCATCGCGGTCACCACACCTCCCACCTCCTCCACTCCACTCCGTACAGCGAAAGCAGATCCTGCAAAATGGCCTCCATCGCGCGCCAGTCTTCTCCCCTCCTCCGGTCGGCGTTCCGCGCTCCCTTCGCGACTAAGAATGTCGCGCAGGTCGTGGCTTTCCATGCTTCCGCTAAGAAGCAGATCTTGCCTCCTCTGCCTCGTGAGTTTCTTCATATATATGAATTGGATGCGATTGGATATATGGGATGGGTCATGCTAATGGGTTGGTGGTTGCAGAGACTATTCAGGGAACGAGTACGTGATTTCTCCGGTTGTTCGGTTATCTGGTTTTGGTTTCTGTCTACGGGAATCGATATTCGGGATATCGACGTTGCTCGGACAGCCATGATTGAACTTGAAGGGCCGACATGGATAAGATGTTTGGAATACAATTCTGACAGCTCGACGCAGTGAACGACCCCGCTCCCATCCCCAAGTCTCACCCTACCGAGGGTAGCTACCACTGGACTTTCGAGAGGTGCGTTTAACCCTCTATTCTGATATCCATCGGATATACATGGATGGGTCGAAGGATTGATGAGTATGGAATGGAGAGCTAACAATACCAGAATCGTCTCTGCCGGTCTTGTCCCTCTCTGCATTGCTCCCTTCGCTGCTGGTTCCATGAGCCCCGTCATGGACGCCGTCATCTGCTCCGCTATCGTGGTTCACTCTCACATTGGTTTCCAGTACGTCTTTCCTCCCTCTCTTTGCCGTAATAAAGCCGCGCCCGCCCGCGCGTGTGTGTGTGTGGATTATGAGACTAAAGGCTAATAAATAACAGCGCCTCCATCACCGACTACTTCCCTACTCGCCGTGTCCCCAAGACCCACACCTTCATGATCTGGCTGCTCCGCGCGTTCACCCTCAGCACGGCCGTCGGTCTGTACGAGTTCGAGACGAACGACGTTGGTGTGACGGAGGCTCTCCGCCGGGTGTGGAACGCATAGACTCCTAGGGATGTGTGCTGTTTTGTGACATGGTTTTAGTTTTATTACTGCTTGTGGTTTGTTTTGGGCGTATGTGCCGCTCTCTGCCTCTGTGTACATGTTCTGATTCCTATATTTTGGCTCGTCGAGCTATAAAAGATGTACTTTGAAATATACCTTTACTTTTTCTATCATCATTCACACTATATACATAGACTACCCCCCAGATACACAAACTTCAGAATAACTACTAATACCCCGTAGTATACTACTACTCAATTACTCCTCTTCCCCCTCCCCATCCTCCTCATCACTTCCCCCCTCCCCATCCAACAAATCCTCATCATCCGCCCTAACCACCACCTTCTCCATCAACCAAAGCGCCTTCTTCAACGGCAACCCCACCACATTATCAAACCCGCCCTCAATCCTGTCCACAAGAATACTCCCGAGGCCCTGAATCCCATACCCACCCGCCTTATCCGCGCCCTCTCTTGTCCTCACATACGCCAAAATAACCTCATCACTAACCCCCTGATCAAACCACACCTTCGTCTCCTCCAGACAACTCTCCAACGCATACCCGGGAACCCTCGCACTCGCCAACGGCGTCATCGCCACAAGCGCCGTATACACCTTATGTTCCCCCGCATCCCTCAACCCCTTCAACATCGCGATGTGATGCGCCTCGCTCCGCGGCTTCTCTAATATACTCCCCGTGGAAGTGTCCACGATGACGGTGTCCGCTGCAAGAATGAATGGGTCACCTTTCGGTGAGTCGATTTCCTGCGCGTACACGGCTTGTGCCTTCTGCGTGGCGGTTTGGAGGACGTATTCGAAGGGGGGGAGCGTCTTGGGTAGGTCTTCGGGTGTGTTGGACGGGATTATTTCCATGTTGGGGAGGGAGAGGAGAGAGAGGATTTGCCGGCGGCGAGGGGAGGATGAGGCCAGGATGAAGCGCTTGGAGCGCAGGTGCGTTAGGATTGGGAGGGAGAGTGGGGGTGGGCGGGGGAGTAGGGAGGCGCGTTTTTGGTGGTTGGGTTGGTTGTTGGTGCTGGTGGTGGTGGTGTAGGCTGGTGGGGGGTCGTCGGATTCGAGCTCCGTTTGGGAGAGGAGGGATTGTTTGCTGTCGGACATTTTGGATATGTGTTTGGTTTTGGATTGTGGGGTGAGAGGTTGAGGTTGTATAGGTGTTGGGTATATATGGTCGTGATTGGGGGGGTTGTATGGTGGTGGTGGTGTTGAATTTGATAGACGGGCGGTGAGACTCGGCAGTTGTGATAATGCAGATAGTAGATAGATACGGGATAGTTGATACGAGTTGGGCGTGCATGTGATGGCGGTCCATGCTGCATGTTTATTGCTTGGTTTGTATGTTGAGTATTGGGGATTAAGGTTAAGCTTAATGCTTCAGGAGAGTTGGTGTGGTACAGTATCGTCTCCCTGCATATGGTTTCGTTTACTGTCTACTCCATATGGAAAGCTGCATGACAGTAGTACCAAGTGCCATTTCCAGTCTGGCTTCAACATGTAGTATCTGCTAAATAAACAACTGAGCTCATAATGCCGCCAATGTATATATGCAGCAGTGCAACAATCTCAACAGTAACAATCAGGACCTTCTCATCCCTATATACCAAATACAACGCCATCCCGCCTCAAGACCCTAGGCCGAGAAGCCTCCGTAGAGGCCAAATAGAAATTACCACAACCATCGCCCATTGCAATTGCTCAATATCACCACTACCAATCAACCGGTCAAGACCCAGCGCCGGACTTTTTCCTTTCCAAATATCATTTAAGAGTCGCGTGACGCATGTTGCATAGTCTCATCCACCTCAAAAGCAGGTCATAGTCATCATCATCAACAACAGCATGCCGCTCGGACCTCGGCAGCATTAGTTGCGAAACGAATCATCAATGCGCCCTCCACGACGCTCAATCTCCGCAATCAATTCCTGTCGTTCCTGCAGCTGAAGCTGGATAAAGTCCACCGTCTTGCGAAGCACAATACTCTCACTGCGACCCTGGCCCTCCAAGCCAGGCACCAGCTCGGTCAATCGATCGAAGCCCTCCCGAATTGCGGCGCGGCGTTTCTGCTCCGATGCAATGTGGTTATTCTTCTTTTCCTGCTCGGTGAGCCGCGGCTTGTCCTTGTCTTGTGCGTTGGCCGCTGAAGAGGCCGAGGCGGGCTTAGAGGAGTTGCCGGTGGGTGTGGTGGATGGGGAACGGTCGTCGCGATCGTCGGGATGGGTGTTTGTGCCGCCGGGCAGGGGAGAGTAGGATGGTTCCGAAGAGCTGGAAGCCAGGGAGGCAGGAGGTCGTGCAGATGGCATCGTGGTTCTTCTGGGAGTATATAGGAGTGGGCGAGAGAATGCGATTGTTGTCGTTCATACAACGACTATCATGTGCTTCTTGCTGGGGTGGGATTTTCATGTGACAAACCAAACAGGGTAGTTCTGCGGGGAAGAGAAGAGCAGAGAAAACAGAGAAACAACAATAATATAGATAGGAAAGAGAGAGACTGAGTGGGAGATAATGAACGAAGAGTACGATGAGATATGTAAAGAAAAAGGAGACAAGACTAGAGATTCATTGCAGACCCCAGCTCATTAGGGGGGAACGAACTTGCTGGGTTTCTGGACCAATGGAGCGGAGGTCCATTAATGGGAACCGCGATCGACTTGAAGCGGAGGGTACCGTAATGATCTAAGATTACCGCCAACTGGCCAGTTCCTGGATCGCGGCCTCACCCGCGTAACGTCATCGATCGTTCAGGTTGCTTCTAGATTCCCTCAGATACCTTCTCTTCTGCACCTCACCATTATATTGTCTCCATTCTGCCTCCCCCCATTCTAGAGATACAATTAGGCCTGGAAGCCTACCCTGAGGTTGCGTCCTCTCGGTCTTCGTTCTCTCAATTGATCGACTCAATCTATGACTTCACACTAGCGCTGTTTCACTACTACGTACTAACTTAGATACAACGGCCAAGCAAACCCCGATTCGGAGATAAACGCCACAACATGACTAGTCACGAGCATCTCCGCGGCTCCTGTCAATGTGGGAGAAATCAGTATCAGATCCGACTGCCCGACGACATAACTGACCATGCCCACGTTTACTTGGACACCGGCCGAGACAATCGTACGTCACACTCCGCCTAATATATACTTACAATAGTACTAACCACAAAATGGACAGGAAGATTTCACGCAGCTCCATTGACAGCCTGGCTTCGTGTCCCTCTAACCTGGTACCAATCTCACACTCAATCCTACTTCCCCGATGAAACACACAGCACCATCCGTCGCATCTTCTCCCCGCACCATGCGCCACATACCCAGCGGGTCTTTTGCGGCTACTGCGGCACGCCACTCACATTTTGGAGCGAGGATCCGCGCGAAGAAGCGGAGTACATGTCTGTGTCGATAGGAAGTTTGTTTGGCGATGGCCAGCGCATGTTGGAGGACTTGGAACTGTTGCCTCCGGAATCGCCTCCCCATTCTTCGGATGAGGAGAGGGAAGCAGAAGAGGAAGGCGCTGGGCCTGCAAAGGGAAAGGGAAAAGTTGTTGTTAGTCCGGCTACTGCGCAACAAGACACCCGCTCGTCAGATGTGGTCATTCCATCTGGGTCGGCGGTCTCACGGAGTTACAGACATGGCACACTGGGCGGGATCCCGTGGTTCGAAGAGATGGTGGAGGGCAGTCGGTTGGGAAGGATGATGAAGACTAGGCGTGGAGTTGGGGTTAGTGATGATCAATCTACGACTTTTGAGTGGGAGATTAGCGAGTGGACGAGCGATAGTACGCAGGCGGCGGGGAAACGAAAGCGCGGTCATCATACTAATGTGGAGGATATCGAATCTACTTAGAGAGTTGGTGGTCGATGTCTGATCTGGAGTCCGGAGGCCACTCATAGTGTACTTAGTCGCTGAAGACCCTCTCAAACAAGATCATAATAAATTGACTGTAAAGAGCAGAGAGACGTTATCTCGGATTCTACTTGTTCATGAAGCATGACAGTAGAATGCATGAAGACATATATGTTCGTCCTGCAAGATCGATCACACAGATCGCTGGTTCACTGCATCCAAACCTAACAGGTGAACAGCAATCACACCGACAAGCCCAATAACTAGTAGTAGATAATTTCAAATCATACCCTAAATTAACTCCACCATTCCACAGGCGCGCCTCCCGTCACTGCAAAGCTTCCTATTCGGGAATCGCCTCGCCTAAGTTGCCGTATCTTCACAAAAGTGAAGGACAAGTTTGCCTACCTTGCACAACATAAAACACTTGAGAATCCTCATCCTCTCTTTCTCGCCTCTTCTCAAAGACATGGTGGGTGATTGTGGCTCTTGCCCAGTCACCCTCCATGCCTTTATTCCGTTGTTCGAGTATCAAAGCTCTTGTTAGGGCATGTTGTTCTGGTTCTCTTTGAACTGAACGGGAACAGCATATCTCTGTGCTGGTGACGCGTCGTCACGCAGGGGTACAGACAAGGGAGCTTTGTGCGGAAGGATGTCTGCTGTGTAGGTTTTCGCTGGATAGCTTTAACCCTTGTTCGGCCAAAATAGGATGATTACTAACCATGATAATAGGTTGGCTGCATATGTACTCATGTTGGCTTTTGAGATTCGATGCTTCTAAGCTGGACAGACAATATCCCCAGATCGATGTTGTCTCTAATAGCCCTGATGGAGAGACTTGTGTCCTAGGTCAAAGAGAGAAGTCCAGGCTGGCGATGAAGCAACCCCAAGCGATGACAGTCCACATAACGTGTCTGCTTGGTCTATGTTTCATACCTGGAGCCCTAAGGACTCAATGCATCAAAAAGCATGGACCACGTATAGATCACCAATGTCTAGCCCCTGGTGTGGAAACTGCCAACTCTGTGCCAAATATTGAAATGCAATTCATAGTCCTCAGCTTATGATAGCACCCACAACGCAAAGGGAATGTGGTATCTGTGGCGTGACTGTTGCAAGAAGTGGAATATCAAAGCCGGTTCATTCGAAGACTAGTCAAAGCGCAACAATTAAGACGCATCGAACTTAGTACTGCCGGACCCTGAGACGGAAGCTATCGTCAGTCAAACTCATTTTGTCCGGGAGTATTCTGAAAAGCAACAAGCTTGGCAGCCTATGACATAGAATGACCAGCCAGTCTTCAATGTCAAGATAAGGGATTGGCTTAGCTCTCGTGCAGGTTCCCTGCCATAGAGGCCCGGTCATTGGGAATGACGCAAAAGGCAAAATATATCGAGTTGGCTAACCTAGAACGTCCAGACAGCTCCGTTTTGCAGAACGGATGCTGTCAAGTTCCGACTCCCATGGTTAGTCAAAGGAGTACTGTCCATGACCACTGAGTATATGAGTGGAAGCAAGTGCAGCCTGAGCTCTCTCTACCTTGTGGGTCTTTCTGTCCTTGACAGCCTGCCAGGAGCATATACATGCAACCTGGTGGCCAGTCTGGGCCTAGTCACCTGGTATCAGAGACCATTACGGCAGCACACCATACCCTCCCGGTGAATGCTGTGGACAGCCCTCTTGATGGTTGTTTCTTGCCGTCAATCTTACACTCGCCCGTCTTGTCGTTTTGCAGGGGCACACAGCTTTCGTTTGCTGGTTGACCAAACCGGGCAGGAATTGTCTTTCTGACGGATTTTTCTTGCCCGGCCAACACTCGCTTCTTCCACATTCTCTTCCGCTCCGTCTACTTTCATTTCTCAGGCATCTTCTGCTTCATCTTGCAGCTCCCGGCTTCCCTGTATTTGTTGAGCAGCGCGCTCGTCTAGCTTTTCTGTCTGCTGGCTTGCTTTGAGACCAAGATCATCTAGCATCTAATCTTCTCTCCTCATTTCTCGCGCCGTGTTTTGATTTCTTGAGATTTTAACACACTAATTCCCTCACTGCACTTGCTGTATTCTATACAGCACGCTGAAGGTCGCGTCCATCCTCTGCTGTTCTTCTCTCCATCTGTCATCTACAAAGACATCTCGTCTACATCTCCTCTTAAGAACAGCATCATCATAGTTGCTTCTTACTTCTGTCCCTCTTATTCTCATCTCCAGAAAAGCAGGAATACTCTCGCTGAGGTTCCAAGCTTTCTTCTTTACAGTCACAGAGTTGCGTGTTTTGAGACTACTTTCATCTCTTCTACTTCTCATTTCAAGAACAACAGCAGCCTACTTGCTTTCCACCTCTCATCCGCGTGTTCAAGACAGTCGGGATACTCTTGTCTAGGCATTCAGCTTCCTCTTCTACAGACACAGATTTACGTGTTTCATACTATACACTTCTCTGCATCTCTTCTCAAGAACACCAATATAATACTTGCTTGTTATTTCTTCCCCTGTCGTTTCGACTCCGAAGAACAGTCGAGATACCCTTGTTGAGGCCATCAGTTCTCTCTCCTACAGACACAGAGTTACATCTCACTTATATCGTCACAGTCTTCAAGGGTTTTCTGCTACAGACACAGTAGAGTGTTTTTGAACTACATATCTCCTCACGTCTCATTCTTGATTTCAATCTTCATCTGTGTCTGATACACTTAACGTCTCATATCTCCACTATGTCTTCCAACTCGAAGAACGTTTCTTTCAGATCTCCCCTTGAAGAAATTATCTCTCCTGCTGAGAACACCAGGGCCACGGGCCGTGAGGATGGTCGCTGGGATATTAGAGGTGAGCATTGTCTTTTGCTCTTGTGTTGTCGAAAGTTGGATATGGTGTCTTCTGAGGGAAGCATCTACGATGGGACTTGGCGTCGGTGGTTGTGAGCCTGGTATAGTCGTGCCTGAGCTTATGATTGCTACGCATCAGAGTCCATGCTGTCTTAGCACAAAGGTGTATCACATTCTTACTGCTCTGTGCTAATTTACTTTCCAGGAGCCACACAGAGTGGTTACCCATACACCCGGGATATCAATCCGCCTCAGACGATCGCTTATCCATCGCCGTATAACCCTAGTAGGTACATGCTGTCGGATCATGCAACACTCATGCTAACCCACAAAAAGATGATTCTACTTTCTGGCGGGACGCAGGAGTAAACAAATATACCGCCTTGCATTCCCACCCAGTCCACCCACTTCGTATCTCCAGCGGATACACTCAGAACGTTGGCGCAGAAGTCGAGTCGTATTCGCCACAACGGACGCGTGCAAGCTATGAGCTGCGTAGTGCTATTCCCACTGCTGTAGACAGGCGCCAGGCATTAGCCGAGAAACTTGCTGGAGGTGCTCAGGTAGCAGAGGTGTCTTGCATGCCTCACTACCAACATCTAATCGAAAGAGCTCACAATGCACCAGACTGGGATGACAACCAGCGCGAAAACCGCACTCCTCTCACGCAGCGAGTAACTCGTCTGCCACATGGCCCAACTCTGAAAATCGCATCAGCGGCCGACGAGATCATTATGGGAACAGGTAAAAGTAACCTGAACTATGCCGTTACCCAATTGTCGGACCCCGCGAAACTTCGGTATGTTGACAGGCCAGTGTCAACCGAGCAAACAAGCAGCGACGACGACGAATACTCTTCAGACTCCTCGCCAACCACCCTCCTCCCAATCACAAAAGATGCCGACCGACCCCCCATCCCCCCCAGAAATTCCACAAGAAGCGGGGTTGGGGGCCAGGCACGACACAACAAACCAAAGCCAGCGCCCGAAAACCAGACAGAGCTCTTTTCCGAAGATGCATGTGCGGGCGATGAGCCGCCACTCACGCCACGCCAACAATACATCGAGAGACCGTCTTCTTCCGGCGCTGGTACACGCAACCAAACGACCACACTAGTGAGAGCAGGAGACTTGACCATCACTTTGTCGGAGCCTGTCAGCCCTTTCCGTGCCCCTATATCTCGCAATACCTCAATGCCAGAGGTCACGGAGGATGCCACAGCTCACGATAGGTTTCCACCACGATCAATCTCTCTCCAGCCACTGCGAGGTCTCCCAGCCGAAATTGATAGCCGCGGACCTCATACTACCTTCGATGAGATCATCCCGCCCGTCTCAAATGCAACTGTCCGGAAGGCCTTTAGCCTCCGTAGTATCTTGCAGAAGACTCGGGGTGCAGAGAAGAGTCGTGTGGGCCGAGCTACCAAATCGAACTTGCGAAGCAGCAGTAGCAGTGCCGGCAAGACGGCTTTCAAGGGCAGAAAGTCTGGGAAGAACGCACGCAACCCAACGACTTCGCTTGGAGCTATATCAACGCCGATAGTTGTGCCTACTCCCTCATTGTTGCAGCAACTTGGAAGGAACCACATCGACCTTAGCCCAAGCCAAGACACTCCTGCATATCTACAGCAGGCAGTGTCGACACTGTTCAAGCCCGCCACTCCGGAATCACCGAACCGCCATGCTCCGCCAACATCGTTTGCCACGCACAGTATGAATGCCATGGCTGGGCATCATGAAACCCTGACCATGCCTCCACTTCCTCTGTCTCGCCCTACAGAACTTCGCAGACCAGAGAGCAACGCAACTAGTGATGCGGGAGTGCAGACCGAACCATCCGCCAACGGTTCGGCCTGGACCTGCGCACACTTCGATGCACTCAGTGATTCCGTCTGCAGAAAAGTCCGAGAAGCGAACACAAGTGCACAAAGAGACCAGTACCTTGAGGTAAGTCTTTCAACTCTTTCCAGATCTTGTGCAGATGACTGATGATGTAGATAGATGGCTCTTGAAATTCAGAAGCTCCTCGTCAACTACCAGCGGCTGGGAGAGGTTGTTGAAGACACTTCTAAGTTCCTCAACCAGAAGATGATTGAAAGGAAGTCGATCGAGACCAAGCTTCGAGCTATGATGGAGGAGTCATAGGTTAGATTTTGCCTTCTGCTAATCAGTGTGTGAGTCAATTGAGTATAAGTGAAGGATATTTCCAGTCATACTTACCAACAATATGTGGGTTCTATTCCTTCACTTGTCCCTCTTCTCTTATTCTGTTTCGTTGTCGCCCCACACCTTGCTGAGGTGGGCAGA